TGCTGTCCTCTCATTGCTTCTGGGCACCCATATGCACATGGTGCACATATGTATAAGCAGGCAAATACTTTTATATATAAAATAAAAGTAAAACAAATGAGAAGATAATCTACTTTTATATAATACCTAATAGTGCAATTAGATACAAAACCTTATATACATAATTCTACATACTTATAAACAATCTCTAGAGAAAATCCCTATAATTCATTTGTCTAGATAGGATAATAAATAAAAATAAAAAGATTTTTATTTCTCAGCTGCAAATGGTGAAAACTTAAAATCTTAATGCCTTAGCTCCCAGGCTTCTGGAACTCCATCCTGCCTTTCTTTAATATGAAAAGTCCTTAGGGGCTGTCACTTGCCTCATGTGTGATGCCCTGGGTGCTCTCCTGAGCCACATGAAACTGGGTGTGGTACGCTTTAGTCCCAAGCTCTCAAGAGGCAGAGGCAGGCTGGAGAGGGCTCAGCAGTTAAGAGCAGTAGTAGCTGCTCTTACAGAGGACCCAGGCTATTCTCAGCACCCACATGTAATTGCAGGACTCTCTTTTGCCCTCACAGGCACAGCATGGAGACAGTGCTCAGATGTGCATATAGGCCAGACTCCCAAATAAACCTTCCAAAGTTCAAGATCACCCTCAGTTACACAGCAAATCTGAAACTAGCCTTGGCTACATGAGACATTGCCTCAAAAAATAAGTCCCTAGGAAAGATTCAGTTAAGATATAAAATCAACCATTTTCTGGTTAGCACTTAATTCTGAAGCCTTGACTAGAGATATTCCCTTTTCCTTTATTTAGTTCTGAATATGTATTTTTACAAACAAATATTATTTATAAAGTAAAGCATACACTTACGATATAAAACTCTTAAAATGTGAAATAATTAAGAGACCTTTAGAAAATGGTGAAGTACGTAGCACATAAGATGCTCCATTTTAGCTATTTATTTTCAGTGTGAAACTCACAGGCAGTAATTATGCTTAGTGTTACACAACTATCATATTTCAGGAATGTTTTGTCTATGTGCTTGTATTTGCCTGTGTGGGTGAACATGGGCATAAGTGTTCACATGATGTGGGAGTCAAAGGTTAACCACTAGTGTTATTCCTCAGCACTGTCTGGTTTGGTTATTTTTGTTTTTCCCTCCAGGACAGAGTTCCATTGTATAGCCCTGGCCATCCTGGAACTGTCTCTGTAGACCAGGCTGGCTTCGAATTCGGAGATTTGCCTGCCTGTCTCTGCCTCCTGAGTGCTGGGATTAAGGAAATGAGACACCAACACCCAGTCTTATTTTTTAAAGAACTGTCTTGAGTATTTCCTACATGATATGTTTTGATTAGCCTCGCCTCCACCTCTGACCTCCAGCTTTCCCGTTCTCCCAGCCCTTTCCTTTCCTAACTTTATGTACTCATTTTTAAACCACTTTAGTGGTATGTACATGCCACCTTGATTTTTGAGATGAGGTCTATCCCTGAACTGACAGCCAGAATGCCCTAGGATCTGTCTCTACCCTTCCATCACTAAGATTACAAGTGCACACAAGCACATTCTCCCTTCTTATGGGAATTCTGGGGGCTAAACTCAGGTTCTTATACTTGCACACAGTATATATTCAATGAGTGAGCTTGCAGCCCTTCTTAGGAAACAGTTTCCAATACCCAGGGTCACATCAGACCACGTTCATGGAAATATGTTCCCCTGACAGGTTAGCTTTTACTTTCATGTCATCAGTAGATATGACTTTGTCTTTTTAAATAGGGAAATAAGCAATATAAACAGGAAAACACTTCATTAATAATATGCTCATATTGTACAGGGGATTCCTCTAAACTGACACATTTCCTGGAATCAGTACCCTCCCAAAGCAGAGGGGAGATGCTAGGAGACTCATAATAGGTCACGTGTCTGGCAGAGTGGAAACTAGGAAGCTTCCTGCTGTCCCCTTCCACGTTACATTAGGTTAATAACTGCTGGGGAAGGAGGCTGCCCAGAGGAGGTGAGCGGAGGTTCTGTCAAGCTGCCTGCAGACCATGCAGGAGCTCCAGGGAAGCTCTGATGAAGCATTACCCATGTCCTGGTGGGCTCTTCTAAGTAACCTTCATCCAGACCCCTGTTAATATCCCCAGTGTGTACTCACTGTTCACCAAGTTGGACTTGGGTGCATCCATTACTTTGGTCTGTCATGCATTCCCTTTCTGGGGTGAGCAGGTGTGTGTGTGTGTGTGGTGTGTGTGTGTGTGTCTCCCATACAACAACTCATCAACTATCTTTGTCAGTCACTTACCAAGAGCCAACAAGTTTTCCTCAGCCTTACCACAGTATTTACTTAGAAGCAAATTTGATACATTAAAAAAATATTTTTTTCAATATGCATTGGTGTTTTGTCTCCCTGTATATCAGTGTGAGGGTGTCAGGTGTCCTGGTACTAGGAATTGAACCTGAATCCTTTGGAAAAACAGTCAGTGACCCCCCAACTACTGAGCCATGTCTGCAGTCCCACACTGAAACATGCAAACATCTGTCAACACTGGTATGCAGAGTCTCTTTGTTACCCAGGCTAACCTTCACTCATTGGTGGGGGAGAATTATCTGTATTCTGTCAATCATGCTTTAAATAAATGCTGATTGGCCAAGCAGGAAATATAGGTAGAAAAACCAGACAGGAAGTAGAAATGATGTAATGAGAACAGGAGAATTCTGGGAAGGAGGAAGTTGATTCCTCTCACTCCTGCCCAGAACACCAAAGCAGAAGGATGTCATCTGCCCCACTACAAAAAGGTACTGAGCCACATGGCTAACATAGATCAGAAAAATGGGTTAATCAAGGTGTGAGAGTTAGCCAATGAGAGGCTAGAGCTAATGGGCCAATCAGCTTTATAACTTATAGAGACCTATATGTAATTTTCTTTGGGGCTAAACAGTTGTGGGGAACTGGGTGGGACAAAAACCCCAACAACAAGCAGGCCAGGCCCGTCCATGTTACAACTCATGATCTTTCAGCCTCCACTTTCCAAGTAGGCTAAGACTTATGTCCCCACACCAGCTCTGAGGTGCTGAAGTCCTCCCCACCGCTACTTTTGGCTGTCATTTGTTACAGAAATTTAGGAAGCATATGGAGTAGCCATTCTCTCACCTGCCTGAGTGTTACAGAGAAAAGGAATTTTGCATACTCTGAGAGGACAGCACCAAGCAAGAAAGGCTTCTGTTTTCTTTTGCATTGCCAAGAATGGCACTCAGGGCATGGGTCGCCCTGGACAAGTGCTTCACAAACAAGCTACATTCCCAGCCCCTGATTTTCTTGGGTGTACTACTACTGAACATGTCTGTGAGTAATGTGTGTGTGTGCCATCGCATGCATGATGATATCAGGACACAACTTTAGGCAACAAGCTTTGTCTCTCACTTTCTGTGGGCTTGAGGGTTGGATTCAGGCTGCCAGGCTTGTGTGGCAAATCCCTTACCTGCTGAGTCATCTCACCAGCTCACACTGACACTCTCACATATTTGTGTAAATATACTCCTCAGATAAGCCCAGGCACACAAACAAAACCTCCAGAACATCAGACATAAACTTTAATTTCAGCAAAGTAAAATACCATTGCATATAATCCAAAAATGAGACAGAGGCTAAGCACTGAAATTTATATTCAAATTAACATATTAAGATAGCCGGGCTAGTAGTAAAGCTCAGTGGTAAACCACTCACACAGCACACGAAGGTCCCAAGTTCAACTCCTAGCATAGAAACAGGACAAACTGGAGATGTTCCTGTGGTGTAGAAGGTCCTTTCTATCTATGTGTTGCTTTCATTGGTTAATTAATAAAGAAACTGTTTGGCCTGAAAGGGCTGAACATACGTAGGCATGGTAGACAGAACTGAATTCTGAGAGGAAGAAAGCAGGGTCAGAGATTGCTACCATGGAGCCAGTTGCCAGGTCAGACATGCTGAATCTTTCCCGGTAAGCCAAGACCTCATGGTGACATACAGATGATCAGAAATGGCTTAAATGAAGATGTGAGAGTTAGCCAATAAGAGGCTAGAGTTTATGGGCCAAGCAGTAATTTAATTAATACAATTTCTGTGTGGATATTTTGGGGGCTAACCTAGCCGGACGGTGGGACACAGCCCACTTCAGCCTAAAACATTCCTGCCAGAATGGAAGAAAGACTCCTGGCCTCTTCCTGTATACTGACTTTAAGCCATTTGCCTTTCTATATTACACAGGTGAAAACACTCTATTAACACATACTGCCTTTTAGAGCCTACAGACATGGAGGTCTGGACAGCACCCGGCGTGACACCCACAACTCACTTTAAAGTGTCTCAGCGAGTGTGAGGGGTTGGATCACGACCCAGAACTGGTCACCCTCAGAAACTACTGTGGTTAGTCACACAGACTTTACACTTCTCCATACATTTGGAGGTATCTATAATAAAATCAAGTCTTATACTCTGAGACTGTTTCCTCATTTTAATTAAAAGACGTCATTTTTTTAAAAAAAAAAACTGTTTTGCTTCTTATAAGAAAACTAACCTTATGCTATCTAGTTTAACTAAATAAATTCTATTATTGATTGCACATAGGATTCAATTTCAGGCCTTATGCATGGTAGGCAAGCCAATGAACTATACTTCCATTCTTCAAATTAAAAACTTGAATTCTTAGTTACAATAGTATGTGAACCGTTACCAGGACTGGGTGTGGACTCTTCAAACGAAGCCTGTCAGAAGGGTGCTGACATGATCACGATACAGGTCATTACACAGCACATACTTACTGCCAAGCTCCTAGGCCTGCCTGCTGAAATGGTCACAATATGGGTCGTCATATAGCACACACTTACCGCCAAGCTCCTAGGCCCGCTTGCCAGCCTTCTGCGAACATGAGCGCCAAGTTCAGCACTTTCATGATGGCTTCTTTCACGAAGCTGACCTGAAGATCAATGTTTGAGACACAATATGGGCTTGGTGACTACGTTTGAACAGTGACACCGATATTTTCTCCTAACTTACATCACAGAAAAGGCACATCACAATGACTGTCTTTTATGTACAGGAAGGTACATGGGATGTCAACCTGCATTCCAGGACGACACGTGAGCTTTCACTCCTGAAAGCCATTTATATTCATCAGAGGCCGTGAGACACAAGTCCCAGTGGTTGTAAAACTATCAGTTCTACATATTCATAATGCATTAGTGCACACCCACTGCCTAACTGCAGACTCAAGTTTTCAGTTCTGTACAGCTATGTTTTCTTTAATGTAACTGCTGGTAGTGGGCACACATCTGTAACCCTGTCCTTTCCTAAGAGATGACTGCACAGGACAGCAGTTTTAGAATTGAAAATCCCACAGCAGGAAGATATGGCCCTTTCGCCCCACTGGTACACACCTTTTCTCTCAGCAGACACCGATCATGGATGGTTGACAAATACCTGTAGTGAATTTTAATCAACTGATCTAAATCCTTGGCTTCCTCAACTTGATGCTGAAACTCCAGCCCTGTACTGTGGAGAATCTTGAAAGAGAAAGACAAGAACGTAATTAGCGCTTACCCATTTATCCATTTATCCTGACTGCATGGCTAGCAAGTCCCAGGATTCTCTTGTCTCTGCCTCCTTCCTTAGGTATGTGTAACCACACCTGGAAGTTTTTTTTTTTTTTTTGCTTTTTTGAGACAGGGTTTCTCTGTATAGTCCTGGTACTCACTCTGTAGACCAGGCTGGCCTGAAACACAGAGATCTGCTTGCCTCTGCATCCCAAGTGGTGGGGTTAAAGGTGTGCGCCATCTCTGCCAAGCCACAGCATTTTTTATGTAGGTACTGGGGGTTCAAGATCAATCATCAATGCTTTCTTAGCAAGTACTCTACCAACTGAGCTACCTGCCCTTCCTGTCAGCCTCTTCTCTCTCAGTGCAGGAGGAAATGAGGAGACAGTTAAAAGCCAGGTGATGAGGGAGGGCAGAGCAAACAGAGTCTGGCAGACAGGATAGGACTGCTGACTGCAGGAGCTCGCGGCAGCTGTGAGGCTGACAGACGATCAAGCATTCTAGCAGAGTGGGAAGGGAGTCATGAGTTCCCATATCTGAGCGGCTGTGCACAGCTCATGGCTTTTGGGGGAGGGAGAGTCAAACTTTTTAGGAATTTGGCTTGTAATAGGCCAAGCATGCTGTCCATGGATGGTGCCGCCAACCAGGAATGCATGGACAGCACCAAGTGGAGTTCATGTGTTAAGTAAAACTAAACAGGACACAAAGCTGTGGGTGAGGAAGTAGATCTGGGAGTAGTTCAAGGGAGGAACTGAGATACATATGACCAAATACATTGTATGAAATTCTCAAACAACAAAAATATTTATTGAAAAATATATTACCATCCACTGCCATGCTATTTTATGATGAAATTACATCTAGCTTTCATTTTTTTCAATCTCTAAGTGTTCTATGGCTCTTCTGTAGTTATAAAGACATGATCAGTGTTTTCTTTGAACTACTGCCTACATGGGACAAAAGAACCGAGGAGACGGACAGACACCAACCCTGGTCATGATGTAGTTGTGCAGGCTATTCACAAAGTGCATGAGCTTCACGCGTAAAAGAAACATGCGATGGATCTGCTGCCTCAGTGACTCTTTCGGTGCTCCAAACTGGGAGAGTATATCTTGTTCACGTGGAGAGCCTTCTTTTGCTTGAGATCTTTCAGCAGTATTTGCCAGTTCTACAAAATGTTGAAAGGAGAAAATAGGCAGAAACAGAATTAAGGGAAAGCCGCCATACCAACCCTTACATGAAGAGATGAGCAATGCAGTATCAGCAGGGCAGGAACCTAAAGGGCACATTTGTGCCTTGAGAAGATAAAATACCAAATTTCAAGATGCTGCAGCTGTGGCTTGGTTGGTCGAGTGCTTGCCTAGCATGCTGAGGCTCTGGGTTCACTTCCCAGCACCGAATAAACCAGCTATGATGGCACACATCCGCTAATCCAAGCATTGAGTAGACAAAGGGAGGGCAGATAAATGATAATTAAATCCTTGCTATCACTGTTGAGATGCAAATTCCCTGTCAGACCCTTACTCAACTTTTTGGATGTCAATTCCTAATAAGTTATTACATTTAAGATAAATCCTATGAGTTCCTGACACCTTATTACTTTTTGTGTATGCAGGAGCGGATATTGTATGAATGAATTGGTATAGGAGGTCCTTCAGCATTTGTTGCTTTCACTGGTTAACCAATAAAGAACTGCTTGGCCTGATAGGGCAGAACTTAGATAGGCGGAGAAGAAAGTACTGTATTCAGGGAGGAAGAAAGCAGCAGATTGAGCCAAGCCACCATGAAGCTGCCAGGTCAGACATGCTGAATCTTTCCCGGTAAGCCATGACCTCATGGTGACATACAGATCATCAGAAATGGGTTGAATCAAGATGTGAGAGTTAGCCAATAAGAGGCTGGAGCTTAAGGGCCAAGCAGTAATTTAATTAATACAATTTCTGTGTGATTATTTTGGATGTAAGTTAGCCAGGCTGGATGGATCAAAGGGGCCCTACGCTCTTCACAGCAGTGAATAAATGCTCTATGTGTATGCACTGGTGTCGGAAGTAGCTGCAGGCTGTCTGAGACAAGTCCTCTGGAAGAGCAGCAAGCACTCCACTGGTGAGCTCCCCTCCATCCCCACACTTCATACCTGTAGTAGGCTTGGTAAACCTGTTGCCATACTCCTGTGCCAGGCTGGGATTTGTTCACATATAGAAAAGATGAAAACCTATACAAAATTTTCCAGGACCAAAATCAAATTAGAGTTAGTTTATTGAAATCAAATCTTACCACCAAACAGTAGAACATCCAGGCTGTATTTTGCCCATTTTATTTGCAATAGGAGAAGGAAGACCTGATTATAAATTTTTTGACATTCCACACTTATAACAATGTCCACAGGCCATGGGACCTACAAAAACAAAAATAAAATTTTACATGCACAACTTAGTCTCAATAAAAACCCAATTTTTATAAAAAATAATTAGCGCTTACCTTGTAGCTCAGGGTAAGACCATCTAAGATATGAACGGGTAGTTTCTTCTTAGCTGTATCAACATTTTCAAACGATATAGATAAACTAAATGAAGAAGTTTCAGATTTAGTTTGTGATAATAAAATTCATGTAAAGTTCATATAAGATGTTCTAACACTTTTCGTGGATTCATGGGCAGGGAGCATCCCTCAGGGGTACAACACATGGGTACTGTGACTGAGGTCCTGACAATAATAGTTCCACACAATAACCAATCCCCCTAGAACTTCCATTCAATATAAATATGCAGACAAACTTACATTTTCCAGCACCTCAGAACTAGTGTTTGGTTTTAGAAATGAATGACAGTTGTTTTTGGTCCCCCTTATCTCTGCGCCCACTTCTTGAGACAGTGTCTCCTTGTAAAGCTCAAGTTTGCCTCAAGTATATGGCCATCCTCCTGCCTCAGCCTCCGGAACATTAGAATTACAAATATGAGCTTCTTCACCCAGCAATTTTGTTTTCGGAGACAAGGTCCTGGTATGTATCCAACCTGGAATGCAAAGACCTCCCTGCCTCAGCCTCCCAAATGTTTGTGCTATCCTGTCTCGTTTCCAAGACAGTCTCTGACTGAATTGTAGGCTGTCTTGAGATCCCCATGACTCCCAACCTTTGTCATGCAAGATTATAGGTATGTGTGCACCAACATCCAATTAGTTTTAAAATAATGGGTTTTGTTATATAAAAAATACTTGACAATGTTAGCCACTTAATTAGAATTAAAAACAGCTTGGGGATAGACTGGGAGCTTAATTCTCATCAAAGTCAGACTAAAAAGACTGAGCCTTAAGTTCAGGTGCTGGCAGAAGGGCTAGAACACTGGCTCCTTGGTAAGTCTCCATGAGTCATGCACCATGGGGTCTGCATTTGCTCAGGTACTAGCACTGCTCTACCTGTGCACCTGGACGGGCGTGAACACTGCTGTGCACTGCTCTACCTGTGCACCTGGACGGGTGTGAACACTGCCGTATACTGCTCTACCTGCGCACCTGGATGGGTGTGAACACTGCTGTGCACTGCTCTACCTGTGCACCTGGATGGGTGTGAACACTGCTGAGCACTGCTCTACCTGTGCACCTGGACGGGTGTGAACACTGCTGAGCACTGCTCTATCTGTGCACCTGGATGGGTTTGAACACTGCTTTCCCAAGAGAGAAAGCAGCACAGAACAGAAATATCCACAAGCCAGTCAAGAAGGTGTTCTTTCCTCATGTGATTTCCAGGTCCTGTAGCGATCAATCTCGCTACTGTTACTGAGATACTAGCAGATGATAACCCTGATGCAGGTCATGGATGATTTAAAATAGGAAAGCCAGGGAAGAGGCAAAGGCAGTGTGTGAATGACAGCAATGTATTCCACAGCACAGGAACTTGAGGAAACTACTGTAGTTTTCAGCGGTTTGCTCCATCGACATTCACTTAAGTGCTTACTATGCAGATGATGTAATCTGAAGTCAGCAGAGCTACTTGCATGGCACAGAAAACACAAAAGTTCGCTAGAAAACACAAAAGTTCGCTAGTGAGTAAACAGACTGACTGCTAGGCCATGAGAGGGAGCGCACACCACGAAAGAAGGCCTAGGAGTGAGGAATAGCAGCACACATTTGCACACCCCTGCAGTGTGAGATGCAGTATAAGGCTGAACATGGTTTAAGCGTGTAAGACAGGAGGCTGTGAAGGTGAAGTCAGACAGTGCAAAGCTTTCTCCATCTGCTGTGAGGCCTCTGTGAGTAATGGCTACCATTGAGGGTCAAGTCCCTTGTGGTGGAGGCCTGCCAGAGAGGCTATGGATGTCTTCAAGGAGGGAGGGTTGGTGAAGGCTGGCAATAGGAAAGTAGAGGCCACCATCCCCAACAAGTCAGCAGGAAGCTCTCCACCCACTCACCCTCTCACTGAGCAGTCCATATCAGCTGCCATTTTTTAAAAGATTTATTTATTTATTAAGTATACAGTGTTCTGCCTGCATATGTCCCTGCAGAGGGCACCAGATCTCATTACAGATGGTTGAGACGGTTGTGAGTCACCATGTGGTTGCCGGGAATTGAACTCAGGAATTTATAAGTGCAGCCAGTGTCCTTAACCTCTGAGCGATCTTTCTAGCCCCCTCAGCTGCCAATTTAACTCACCCTTCTTCCATTTTTGGGAAGTGAGAGGGGCATATATGTACCATGTGTGCAATGTGTCTGTGTATTTGTGTGTGTCTATGTATATACGTCAGAGGCTAATCACTTTTTACTTCAGTGAGGCAAGGCTCTCACTGACCCTGACCTTGACAGCCAGCTTGCCTTAAAGATTTTCTCCCCACCATCTGACACCTCCGAAGCGCTGGGATTACAGCTGGAACATCATGCCCATATGGCTATTTTATGTGGGTGCTCCTCAGGCTTCTGCAGCAAGTCCTTTACCCACTGAACCACCCCCTTAGCCTCTTCTCTGTTTTGTTTGGAGATAAAGGCTGGCCTCAGATTCCCAGGCTCAAATGATCTCGTCTCAGACCTCAAGAACCTGGTACCACAGGAATTCCCAGCTTTGATTTTTTTTT